TTTGCGACTCTTGGAAAGTGTGATCTATTGCGGGATTTGTGGAGCCGCTTTATAGCATTTGCTTGGGTTTGAGCAACAGTCAATGAATATCCAGGAAAGTTAAGGAAGATACGTTCTAGAGAAGATGGATGTTCAGTTTTCGTAATTAAGATGCATATGGGAGTTTTGCTTCCCTGTCCAATGGTCTGTAACTGGTCAGTTGTCATTTTCTAGTAACTCCACAGCGAAGGCAGTCAAATATTGATGGAAAATATAATTGAGTGTACAATGTACTTTCAAACGACGTTCATTGTTGCAAGACGTGGGCATATGTCTCCATGCGTTTACCATCAAAGTTTACTTCATTAGCCTTCACCGAACATATTTTGAATTTCTAACAGGCACTACTAGTTATATCTGTGGAGTCCCTAGTAACCTAAAAAGTTGACATTGTTTTTGATACCTTTCGTGGGGTTCGACCAAATCATTATAGTAGTATTTTGATATGGTTTGAATCCAGTCCTCTTCGTGATAACTTCCACAGTTGGTTCCAGTTATTCAGGCGGACTTTTACTTCGGCAGGTAGAATGCTCTCTGCCTGTGGTAGCTCTAAAACGTCACGATAACTCGATCGTGTTCGGTAGGACAATACTATGGAGAGGAAACAGTATCACAATGTGTTAACTGATGACAGCTACGCGGTCACATCGAAGAGTGAGGTGCTACCAGGTTTACTGCCACTTGATACAGCGTTACTTCTAATTCGATGAAAACATCTAGTTTCCTTTTCTCTCTGAGGTGTGCCCAGGCCCAAAGTCACCACCAATCTGATTTTGTGCGTGAACGTAAAGTTGGTGCAAACTGTTTTCCGACGCAAATTGACGGACTAAAGTGAATATCGTCTAAATCTCTCTCAACTGAATATACCGTATATTAAGTTGATAGCTATCGTGAATGAGTGATACTCTTGTGCCTCTCTAATCAATTACAGCCTCGTCCGCAAATAGTGGACTATTGGCCCTGGTTCTCCTTTAAACTGTCTTCGGGTTGTTGGAGTGATAGCATGGTACAACACACGCACAATGTGAAAGCATATCGCGTTGATCGTGTGCGACCGAATGAAAAAAGATGTAGGAAATTTCCAGGTCACTTCTGGAAAGGATTGATTTTGTGATTCCGTCTGCGTTGCATACTATTTAATGGCCGTTGACTTCAATTTTGTTTCCATCTTTCAACAGTCTGGTGGTCACGTCTTCCACAAAGAAGTGAGTGTGTATTGTTTATTATGGGAAACCGTTTTATTGGTTATAGACTGACATCATCTTCAACACCATTAGCAATATAGTGCTAGTAACCTAAAAAGTTGACATTGTTTTTGATACCTTTCGTGGGGTTCGACCAAATCATTATAGTAGTATTTTGATATGGTTTGAATCCAGTCCTCTTCGTGATAACTTCCACAGTTGGTTCCAGTTATTCAGGCGGACTTTTACTTCGGCAGGTAGAATGCTCTCTGCCTGTGGTAGCTCTAAAACGTCACGATAACTCGATCGTGTTCGGTAGGACAATACTATGGAGAGGAAACAGTATCACAATGTGTTAACTGATGACAGCTACGCGGTCACATCGAAGAGTGAGGTGCTACCAGGTTTACTGCCACTTGATACAGCGTTACTTCTAATTCGATGAAAACATCTAGTTTCCTTTTCTCTCTGAGGTGTGCCCAGGCCCAAAGTCACCACCAATCTGATTTTGTGCGTGAACGTAAAGTTGGTGCAAACTGTTTTCCGACGCAAATTGACGGACTAAAGTGAATATCGTCTAAATCTCTCTCAACTGAATATACCGTATATTAAGTTGATAGCTATCGTGAATGAGTGATACTCTTGTGCCTCTCTAATCAATTACAGCCTCGTCCGCAAATAGTGGACTATTGGCCCTGGTTCTCCTTTAAACTGTCTTCGGGTTGTTGGAGTGATAGCATGGTACAACACACGCACAATGTGAAAGCATATCGCGTTGATCGTGTGCGACCGAATGAAAAAAGATGTAGGAAATTTCCAGGTCACTTCTGGAAAGGATTGATTTTGTGATTCCGTCTGCGTTGCATACTATTTAATGGCCGTTGACTTCAATTTTGTTTCCATCTTTCAACAGTCTGGTGGTCACGTCTTCCACAAAGAAGTGAGTGTGTATTGTTTATTATGGGAAACCGTTTTATTGGTTATAGACTGACATCATCTTCAACACCATTAGCAATATAGTGCAGTTTGGTCGTTGGCTTGTTCGCTGAGCTGGGCAGTTTGATTGCAAGCGTTTCATCACCAGTCGAGGTGACACCATCAGTGCGTTACTGAAGAGCGTAGTGGTGCGTAGCGTAGCACAACCACTAACCCACTGCTACGCACCACTATGCTCCCCAATAACGCAATGATGATGTCACCTCGATTGGTGATGAAACGCTTGCAATCAAATTGCCCAGCTCAGCGAACAAGCTAACGGCCATCTACGCTACCTGAGCTACCGACATTTTCCTCTGTAGAAAATAGTGCAGTTTGTCTCACCAAAAATCCACTGGCGCACAGTCAAACTCAAAAGTTTGTACAACTTCCTCTTGTTGAAAAATTAGAACCAATGATGTGGTGTGAAAATGTGGTTGACACAAGCTTACCCCAGATTTTTGAATGTGCAATGGCAGCGAATGAAAAGAAACGAAGAAAAAGATTCTCCTCGGCATTTTTAGCGTCTCCCCTCCCCCACTGGTTGTGTTGACGTTCACAAGGGCTACATCCTGAAAAACGGGTCATCGTTTATCAAACGACGAGTCGCCTAATCTTTTGTTTTATATCCCTATGAATTCGGTACGGAAGAGGACAAAAGAAGATAGGTCGATATGGTTTCACCTCACTCGACTTCTGCAGGTTATTGAGGTTGATCGACTTTCCGTGTTCTGCTAGGCTTTTAGTGAATCTGTTTGCTTTAATTCGATCAGTCATTTAATCGTTCAGCTATAAACCGTACACCTGGTCGTTGAAAAGACGATGGTTGAAGCCTAACGACCTTAAACCACAAAGTAGATAGCTCACTAACATGACTCGATGAACTGATAGTATAGATGAGGAAGACGGGCCAATGCCTTCCTGCACCACGCTTCTTTCGTTATACATGTTTACGTAACTCGTGTATTCTTCCCTTTCTGTACGAAAAATGATTTTAGCCTTCACATCAGCCCAGGAAACACCAGATAGAGTGAAAATCAAGTGAATCGGCATCCTTACTGTCTATATCTTTTATTTTCTATAAGACCCTTGTCGCGACCACTAGCCAGGCAAGTATATGAGTGATTCCTAGCTCAAGCCCTGCTGAAAACGAATAATCGCATCAACTGACTGACTTTCCCCGATGGGCAGATTTTACGATCGACGAGACACTCAGACATTCAGATCTGAATCTTATATTCACACATCAATGATTCGATTAGCGCTGTAATGTAATGGACAACAAGTGATGTTAAGAGACTGGTTATAACGGGATTAAGACAGTCATTACTGGAATAGCGCATTCATTCCGAGCGTCCTTTTATTTGGGATGAACACTTTTATCAACCAGCACCGCTTGACTGGAAAGAACTCCAAAAATAGACCATTGGCTTTAATTACATCCTCAGAAACACCAAGCAGGAATCACCCGGTATCATCGGCGAATAAAGTGTTGAGCTAAGGGGATATCCGTACACTTTTGGGATAATCGGAATGTCTCACTGCAGGATTCACACGAATCGCAGCATGTTAAGCCTAGCGGTCTAGATGATTTTGTTCTTCAGAAATGAGAAGGTCATCACTGTTGGCAGTTGTTTCGTTCAATGCAGATGTCTTGAGAAGTTCATGCTTTGGACCAGCTAACTTCAAATCGGGTCATGCCTGGTTTGCTGTCCAAATATCCTGCGAAAAATTGCAGGATATTTTAATATGGAGTGCAAATGGTCTTCTAGCTGAGGATTGTAGGTTACATTCTTTATCGGTGAACTTCCAAATGGATCTGTGCTCTTGTAAGGTCCTGACTCTATTGAATTGTTGACCCTCGGACAACCACTGGATCAAACACGAATTTTTACGCCGATTATGGCTGAGGTTGAACACAGTCGATGAACCCATCAAATGATTCGCTTAAGAGGAACGTTTATTGACTCGTACAGTAAGCTGTTTTAATTAAGATTTCATCCTGTGTCTGACGTCAGATGATGTCGAAAAACTGAGAAGTAGCCTAGGAGTGTTTGAAATTTATTGGGAATGATAAGCAGTGCGTATCTCACAAATCTTCGGCGTGGTTTGAATCCGCGGACCCCCAGCTGGTAGCTGAAGGCCAAACCACTCGGTCACGAGCAACTGATCAACAGTGTTGTTGACCTTTATTTAGAATTTAAGATGTGGTTGAAGGAAAGATGGTGCCATATCCAATTTAGATGTCAGTCGCTCACACTGCTGGCCAGCCACTCGTGGACAAATGATTGTCTTCGACTACCAGCTGAGAAGTCACGAGATAGAATCCTCCTTGAGATCCGTGAGATGCACACTACTGACAATTCCCAATAAGGACGAAACACCTGTGCAGTGATTCTCGTCATTTCAACACCGACTACCTTCGCTTACACGAAAAAATCCCAATCGAAAAAATTCCCAAATTTCATCATACTACTGTAATTTTTCGGCAACTTTCTAATCACAAATCCTCTGGAAATGAATCCTGTCCGAGTCCAAAGACCACAACTTCGCTGTTTTAAGTTTTTCTGTGAACGTTTTGAATTTACAAACACAGCTTACATGAGTCTACTATAGTCTGCTTGTAATCAGACATGCGAGGAGAGCAATGGTACGCTTTCTTATCATTCGATCTTCTGCAGATCCGGCATTGCTGGTTCTCCATTTCCGGTGACACAATACTCCTGGTTATTACCTGTGGTTTCACACCCTGTTATTCAAATTATTATAGATCCATGTGCTCTGACCTTTCTACTTTTACAGAGGAGCTGGTTTTGTTGGATATCAGAGTTTACCTCATCGACCGGACACAGGAGGCACGATTGGCGAGCCTGTTCGAATCTCAGTAAACTGTTGGAATATTACCATTAAACCAATGGATATTCATGTTTACTTTCTCGAGGCGATATCACTAGACTTGGTGGATTCGAGTGGTAATAGGAAAGAGCTCCGATTGCGTGCGGCCGAACTGCGAGCAAAACTACGTCATGTAGTCGAAACGTAAGTTTCTTGCTGTAGTGTTTACATGGTCCCCTTGGAAAAGGGCAGAGGCCGTGAGCCTCGTGAGTGGTTTATAGAGATGGCTTACGTGCTCGAATATCAAAAGATGTCCGATCGTGTATCTTTCTTAACATCACTGGAGGCCTGATGCAGCTTTGATACGCCAGTTTAGGAGAATGTTTTAAGTGGCGGTCCTTGAGGTGTACTACGGCGAGCCTAGAATGGATTTCAGTCGATCCGGAAGGATTGCCGTACCCACTGATTGGGCATTTATCAATAAGTTTTGGAAGCGTCAATGCAGTGAACCGACGTGGTGTGCAGCATCATTACCTAAAATTAGAGCTTTATTTGACAATATCTTGAACTGGGCTGTGAGCCCCCGAACCGAACCAGTTCTTGGACCGAGTTTCGTCCAACTTACTGGAAGTTCTGCAAGCATTTCCTACAGTTCATTCGTTTTTAACTCATTTTAAACATGCCTCAAGAACCAGCTGCTTTTACCTTACTACAGTGAATACTTTTAAAACTGTGGGAATCGCCTAAAACAGCTGTTTCCTGATGCAAGGAACATTCATTTCCTCCCGAAAATTCCATTTTATTGCAGTCTACTTCTAGGACAGATGTGAAGTACGAAATGCAGCATTATCATCCGTGGCCAGTCTTTATTTTCTTCAAGATGTTCTATAAGAATCCTCTGGGTTTTGTCCCCACCAGGATGCCACCGCACCCTGTGTACGATGGTGCCCATGCACTGTATACGGACACCCCGCTACCGGGAATAACATCAGATGGTATTACGAAGGAAATCCAGCTTCCGGATCCCATGGACGCTGGCAAGCTGTTTTTGAAATATCGAATTCTCCTAACCCAGAAAATCAACACACAGGACCTAATAGCTTATTTGGACAATCCGAAAGCATCAACACTGAATATGCCTCAGGTTGGTAGATAAACTCCATTTCCTTACTTTTCTCTCCAACAGGACAGCATTCGCTGTCTTGACTGCGTGTTTAAATGTGCTTGCTGGGGAAAATTTGAAAGTTTGGGCCGTCAGGCTGTGTTCGAGAAAACACCCAAACAGATAAACGGACTTTTATCCATACATCGGGGTTTCTTGACAAGTGTCCGACCACAGTGGAAAATTCCATTAATCGTCGATTTGGTATGCTTTTTTTCACAATTGATTAATTCGATAATTTTGCCGCATTACAGGTTTTCAAGGCTTTTTTCACAGCAGGCTGCATGGCTGATGTTCTTTATGATAAGTATGGAGATAATATGATGCGATGCGTCAAACAAATGGAGGACGATCTCCTTCGAATTCGCGCCCAGACAAACTCACTATATAAGCAGAAAACAAGTAAGTGAATGATGCACCATTGAAAAAAAACCAAGGTAAGGAGGCGATCCGTTTCAGAACTAGTCATCATTAGTCTTTCACTCTTCTGCCTCCGACAGTAAGTTTTACGTAGCCCGTTTAATAGGTTTGATTTTCACGGGTCGTTTGTTGTTATTGGGCACTAAACCCAAAATTGACGGTATGCACTGATCGCCATAAATGCACGTAAGACTCTCAGTAAGTGGCACGCATATAAATTCAGATACCACGTTCGCACGGGATCTGGGTCAGAAACTCGTCAGGCGACCGAATAAACTCTTTCATTGAGAGACCATCGTAGCCCAATCGGTTCAGGTGATCCATACCGTTTGACTCATGACCATTGGAACACGTCAGATTGTTAGCTATTAGCACGTGAAACATCATCCGAGGACAGCAAAGCATCTCATTAATGGAGAAGTTTCCTCGTGGATGTAAATATGCCTCCTCTTCTTACCCATAAATTCTGCACTTTTGCAAACCCAAGGGCAGGGTAATAGTACAACTCGCTGAATATATACAAATATCATTGGTCCCAGTCATCTAGGACAATACGAAAATTCATTTTCTCACCCAGCCAAAGTCGAAAGCATACCTCATAAAATGATTTTTCGTCATGATAATTTGTTGCGACAATATACTGGGGACAAAAACTGATGGATCAAAAGTCGATGACACCGAATCGCCATACGTTGCTCCATCTTGTGTTCCATTTTCACCATCGAAACACCTTATTGCAACTGTGCTACGTTCCACCGAAACGTTCTGTGAACGTTCCCTTGGCCAAATTTTCTGGCCAGATAAAGTCAGCCCACCCAAGATTAGGTTGTCGATGTATCGAACTAGTCTGTCAGAAGTGCTCACGATGCCAACCGCTTTTAATGTTGTGGTCGACGAGCAGATATAGGTAAAGACCATTTGAGAGTAGATCAGTGCTTTGGAGATTAAGACAGTACATCTTTTTTGGTTCTTGAAAGTTTTTTTACCCTCGGTAGAATAAAAAAGAAGAGGGGCATTTACAGTGGGCAGTGGCGACAGATTGATGAGAGGAAGGCTTATTTCGATCAGTGAACGAATTGACGGAGCCAACAAGCTGCACAACTTCCCGTCGAGAATCATCCAGGAACTATACACATATAGAAGGAGCACTGTCCGAAATATGACAACGTGGAGAGGATATGGGACTTGTACAGTAGGGGATATTGGGGAGGATGGGCAAAATATCCACGGAAACCAAAGATTAAACCGAATTATTTAGAGGTCCGGATTTCATTTACCCCCAAACATGTCACCTTAAGGGAGGCCTTTGCTCTTAGCCAATGGATGCTCCATCTTACAGTCGATCATTGTTTGCCACCTTACTGTCCCACCGAACTGAAATCCCCTAGATCATGTCATGTTGTAGAATGACGATGGAACAACAAGATGTACGGCTCAGTGTGACCATCTTGGACGTCAAGTCTGAGAGTCACCTGGGATCACCCAAGCTATTGCATGAGCAGAGATAGGGAGCTGGAATCCTCATCGCTGAACCCAGTCCACGAGTACTGAGTGACAGCTGTCACATCGAATGCACCTCCGGATTGTCTTTCATGCACATGCGTGTCATCAGATCGCCATCTGTCTATTTCGTCTCGAACATAAACTTGTCACATGTACGGAAATACACAAACATAAACGCTGGTAGAATCCGTTTCCCTCCTGTCCACATGCAAATGGTTCGTCGTACGAGTTTTTTCATTGCTGTTCATGCTTGCAGGTTTAGTACCACAAACTGATCGTCAACAGAGTTCGCTAGATTCTTCATCAATTTCTATGTATCGCTGGCTGCAAAGTACTAAGGAATGTGTAGGTAGGATTTATCAGACTCAACTGCATATAACAAACAGTCCTTGGATAGAAGAGTAGGTCTTATGTATTAGTGTCTGAGTAAGTCTGATCTGTTTTGTGATGCGTGCGTTTCGGGATAACCATCCCGTTCACACTATTGAGATTATCACGGCGACAGTTTGCGAATCTGCTTCCAGTTGCTGCAAACCAGGGTCGGATCATTGAACTGGGGTGCACATCGGTTTGCTCGGCAAGGTCGAAGCAGGCATGTAACCAGCGAGATTAACTCTTGTTTTGACACGTACGCTTTTCGTCTACGTGTACCGGTGGTAGAGAGGTCCTTGCATCTGATGTTCCCGCTCAAAATCCCCATTTTTAATTCCAATACCAAGCGGTTATCACACTCATTTTTGCGCAGTTCGAATAGTTTTTAGTAAACTCACATGATGATTCGAAAAGCATCAGTTGGCCTCAAGTTTTTATGGGATGAGTCAAGCTTCTTGAACAAATCGCAGTGCGAAATCTGTTGTGGGTGGAAAAGTTCTTTCCTAGTCCTACTCATATAAATCAAACTTTGATTCATTTAGCGTCAAATGTTACAATTGGTCAGGTGTGAGGATAATCCATGGTGGAAAATCGAGAAGCAATGTGGGGTCGTTCCATCCATTTTTGGAATAATCAGAATTACGAACCCCACGGTTCTCTAGAGTGCCTGGTAATGTCGACTTTCCATTTAACGATTGAGCATGGTACTATTCCGTCATTAGTAGCCGTTCGGTAGTGTGGTCGCCTTGCATCTGGACGGCGCCACTCACAATCCGCATTTCTAGAAGTACGCACGGAATGGTGAAGTTTTGCGATTCAGACATTTGGGATGCATGGAACCAGAAGTGAAAAGAAATAATAAAAATGGTGCATATTGATTTTAATGGAATACTGTTCTCGTAATACTGCAGTTTTAGCGGTAACTGAAGCGATAGCTTTTCCGTGTTTTTCCCGAATGCTGCAAGATGAAACTCGTCAAATGTACGACGACCGTCGTTTGTCCACCGGGTGCTCAGACTGAGCAACAAAACTGTGCACACGATTATTCGACCAACTCGAATGGGAACTAACACTAGTTAATATTCGGAACTCTAACCGAAGAATTAGTGACAGAAGAGCCAGTGGTACAGGCATATAAAATCACTGAAAGAATATCATTACCGAGCCGAAAGGTCAATTAGCGGGTAAGACAGAATGCACCACAATGTTTACGCCATTCGAACGACGAAAATAGGAATAGTTGGATGAACTGGGAGGTTTTCAGCGTATTTACTTTCAAAGAGCAAGCACAAGGATGGTATGGCTCCATCTTACTCATCCGAGTTTACCAATGAGTCAATACCTTCAAAATTGTCTATCAATGGTAATACTCTAACCTGTCAAATCGGCTGGAGCTTCTTCAGTCGACTTGATCGACAGTGCCGTACAAAACACTTCCTTTGAAGCGCTTCACAGTGAAAAAGATGACTGAGCAGTAGGATGAAATAACGCGTGAAATATCGACAGTTATCATGTTCAGTTAATTATATCGTTTTCGTTGCTGTATAGGACTACATCTCCGTGATCTCCGAGTATCAACCAGAGGTAGTGAAAGTTTTCAAATTTGTAGGTCAAAAATTTGCGTGCGCTACTCACAGATCTACCTAAGTAATATAATCTATCTTTTACCGTACCTGGCTATAGGTTATAAGGATTCTGGTTTCCGAACCATGTACCAAAGACAAATTTGGTGACCTGGCTTGCCAGCAGACAAGCCTACTCATCTGAATCCAGGTTTTCCCAAACAATTGATCCAGGCATGTCCGTGCAGGATTTTTGATGAGATAATCTAGCATCCTTTGGTACTGCGGTTGTGAATGCATTGGCTTGGACATTGCACTCACGCGGTATGTTAAAAGCTTTCAGATATTCTGCAGTGGCATCTTGAGCAAAAAAAGCAAAATCCCCAGAGATCCTTGTTCGTCATCCAATGTGAAGTGTCCATGTGACGTCCAATTACAGTCAAAGCGAGTTAAATGCGTGATTAATTTCTTTGCCATTTCTTCGCGGTCATTATCTCACAGAATCTGCTTCAAAAATATGGTTTCCGGCGTTTTCAGAATACGTTTATCGAAAGCGAGCTGTGCACAAAGATCAGGATTGTCCTTAGGCATCTTTTATATCGCTGACAAACAGATATCAGTTTCCAAAACACATGCATTGGGTTTACATGCATAAAAGATTTAGGCAGTTACGGCGTCCCTACTGCTAATGTTTGATTCGGACTTCTGCTTAGCAGTGCGTTAAATGTGAACCCTGCATAAAAACCACAGCGAATGAAGTGCTTGCAACAGTTCCACACGTAAACGCAGTTCAAATCACACACTGCCTCCATTTCACAGTCCAGGTAACCGACTAGTCCATAATCAGCCCTGAAGTAATTGGTTCATTTCAGACAGCTCAGTTCAAACAAAGTTTCCGACTCGCTTATCTTGTCTACATTACTCACATTACATTACTCACCACATCTTTTCTGAACCCTTAGATCGTGTAAAACGCATCACGGTTCACGGACTATCACGGAAACCCGCTTCGGAGCTCATAATTCCGGAATTAAATCAATCCGTAGCGTCTTATTTTGAAACAAAATACGGAATCCGGCTAAAGTACCCCGAACTGCCCTGTGTAAAGTCAAAAAAAGATAAAGAAGAGTACTTCCCAATGGAGCTGTTGGACATTCTCCCGTTTCAAGCGCCAAAGGCCAGCAAGGCGGATGTGGCATCGCAGGTGATCAGGTTGGCTGCTGTGCAACCTAGGGACCGTTTTAGGGAGATACACTCCTTTCTTAGCGTTATGCTTCAAAGGTATGTTCATTTTTGTTGTTGACTCCCTGTGCTCATAAGCTGCGTCATTAAGACGCACAGGCTAGAACTAGCTATGGAAATTCAGAAAGTTGTATTACTAGTATTATTCCTCGTACATCTTCGTTAATAAAACAATCTATTCTTTAATGATCCATGCAGAACAAGAAACGTTCCTCCATCTGATCATGGCATGGTCAAAGATGGTGTACTCTTAGAGATTAGCCACTTTTGCCCTGTATATGTTAACTTGAGTTCACTACGTTCAGGGGATTCGAATAGTTGTTTGCTTTTGCACTTACTACCGCCTTCACATCTTCACCGCTTGACCAGAGGGCTTGAACTGCACAAAACTTGCCAGCTGGTACTGCCTCCGAACCACTCAGACGGACACTCCTGGATATGTGAGTGGTCCTTTGTGTTGGCTGTAGCACTGCGGCCACCGTTTCCAACCCAACTTCTGTACTCGTGCGAACATATCGGGTTCGAATTTTTCCATGCGTAAATGGGAACGAATGCGCTAGGTATCCGTCCTTGACCTGTGCTAAGATACTCGTGTCATTTTGTCAACACACTCCTCACCCAAGTGTCGGCTTAGTCTGCAAAGCTAGCTAGTTGTTTATGGGATTCATTATTGATGGCTACAACGTGGTAATACGAATGTCTCGCAAACAGTGAGGAGACGAGGCAAGCCCGAGGCACGAATATACCCAAGGTTGTAAACTAATGTGTGCGCGGTCGATTTTACTGTTGATGACTTTCATACGGTGCTCAGTCAGGCCAAGGATGGTACAAATTGCAGATGTCAGTTCTCAAAGCTGCGGCCTTAGGTGTGAGAATACGAACGAGGTGGGATGAACATCTGCGGCAACAGAGCACAGTGTGATGATCATTCGGGCAAGATGAAGAAAACATTGAGCTCGGACTGCACCCAAAACAACAGTAATACTATTATATTCATAGTCTGTTGCCTGGGACAGATAACAAGGTCGCGGGCACTTGAGGACAGTAGTTAGGTTATAGGATAAGCTGGCAAATGCATTCGAGTATTCCCAGGTACATTTCTCTTGATCATTTGTGCTGTTCTCTCCGTATTTCTGCTGCAGCAGCCCGTATACTGTGATCTTAGGTGAGATACGTACGCATGACGATTTAAGTTTTGTCTCGATTACGTATTCTATTGATGGATCCCAGGCCCAAATTCCAACATCCAAGTTACTGATTCTCATACAGGTGTTTAGATGACCAATTATCATCACTCAGAGTGGGTGATAACGATAGCGAGCAACTGGTTGGTTGAGTAACTTTTTCCTATTTTTTTTGGTAATTTCAGTGGTGAAGGTCTGTTCAACAAGTTTGGCGTAAAAGTTTCCCAGAATTTGGTCAAAGTAACGGGACGGATACTGCCACTGCCGAAAGCTGATTTTGGTCGCGGAGATATACCGATCACTCGAGGGAAGTGGAACGTTCCAGGTTTCATAACTCCCGGGTGTCAAGGCAACGAAATCAAGTGGGCTCTGTATTCAGTTCCACCTCATCGAGTAAGTGGATTGCATTGCATTGCGCTGTAATGGCCTGGAGGGAGAAAGTTACCAGGGAAGGGATATCTGCAGACACAAAAGTGTGAAGATTTACAATTGAGGTCGATCACCTTAACCACAAGGATCTGGTTGAATCATACATTTCCTGAGTACGATGTGGGTCTCCTGAGAAAAGAGTATCGGCCGCAAGATCCTTATATGATCATCATCACGCCCTGTCCACTACTTCCTACAAATTTTCGAATCACTTAGCGAATTAATCAAATCTAATTTGGGGATCGGTAGAGAGAGGGTTGAATCACTAGGTTGATTCACTCGAGCTTACTTCTTGCGCTCGATCGATCGCATAAGCTGACCACCCAGGTGATTGTGATGAAACATCATGCAATTGACTCTATTTTTTGCAACGAATCTCCTTCGCGTGGCCTCGGATAGGCCTCTTTCAGTGGACTGAACTGTTTTCTCAGGGAAGTTGTGCTATCTCGTATTCAAGTTTCAATCAATCCGCAATGTTTTAAGCTACACAAACTACTGACATTACTGACCGCAATACTGACAACTGTCGTTGTGGTTTTCGCGGATGTTTTCTGTTGCTGAAACACTTTTTCTCCTCAAACCCTTAGAACCACCATCTGCCTAGGCCAGGCCCCGTTAAAGTTAAGCTGTAAGTTCAGCATTACGGTGATCTGAATTTACTAGCCCTCAATCAACCGACATGGGTTTCATCTGTTTATCATTTTATTAAATAGGGTTACGGTGCACATCGTGCCATGTTGGTAATTAGCCCTAGCGTAACCCACGCACCCCTTTCTCACACGGTTTGCGTGCACGTGTTTCCCATCTTCACCCATTTTCATTTGGAAGGCAATCAAACCACACATGTCAGCACTACCACGTTTATCCCAAAATCGACTCTACGGGTAACCAGACGACGGTGTAGACCAGGCGTGAGAAGCACACCAGCCCGATTACTCATTCCCCTCCAAACACTAACCCCTTGAGGACTTGTGTGCCTGATCGGGGCTTCGGAATTTTTCTCACAAATAGTGTGAATACATATGTAATACAACGAATAGATTAGGTGGTATTGTGGTAGGTACACCGATCCCCAAAACCGACTGCAGAAACTGATGGGACCAGTTATTTGTGGACCTTGAAGTCACTTATGCATATCAAATCGAAATTCCTGTTCCCAACATCTAAAGAACCTCTGACAAGCCCTTCTCGACAAGTTCTTTGGGTGTGTTTGGAATTCAAACTGTCTACGCACATTTGGTGTGAATAAACTGACCACTTGCATGCAGACAAAGACTTCCAAATCGAACGCCGCACTTTACGTGCCTCTACAGCATCTGACACGTCACTGCAGGTCTCCGTCGTCCGATCCGCACATTGGGCTTCGCCGCGACTGTGCACCATGCGCACCAGCACACGGCACGTGTCATGCATGGGGCGCACTAATCACCCCTCGGGCAATCGGCTGTGCGATCGTCATCCTGTTCGGTTATGGTGATTGACCGGTGCAGTTCATTTGGCGATCCAAAATACATGTTGGTTTGTCTTAGGGTTGACACAGTCGAACCACCGGAGTTGGATCAGCAACCTTGTGAGTAATTTTTTAATGAAAATATACTGCGATTTCTCGAATATCGTGCCAGCTGGAACATGAGGCGGCCTTTGTGCAGCGCATTCATTTGCAGAGTATCATAAACGAGAGATTCAGTTGAGTCGCTCGTGAAAACCAAATTGATTTGCAAGTGATTGTATTCCTCAAGATCAAATAGTACGTTGGTTTAGCGACGCGTGCAAGCAGATAGCCTGACTTGACGAAACTAAGCTCCTGACAGAACGATCGACAGCTCTAGGTGATGATTCGCAATAGTGTTTGTTGATGTGGTTGGTTAGTCGACTGATAAGATCAGGTGACTCTTATACCCCTACAGTTTTCAGTCAATCACGAGTTGACCGATGACCAGCGAATTCTAATATGAATTTTTCTTGTCAGATTGAGTTAAACGCTTATGGGTCATAACGTTCCTCTAGTTCCCCTTGCCAAGTGTTCAAAATAGACGGATACACAGCCGTCGGCATACATGTTGGGACTGAAACGTACTGTCTTTCATCGTTCAGAACAGACGAAAAACTCGAGAACAGGATATTCGGCAGGGATGTAGCTTGAATATGGAACAGCTGTTCTCGTTTGGAGCATCCAGTGAACCGGTATAAAGACTAATGGAGCCTGTGGACCTTATTTAAGTTATTCTGAAAGAACCTCAAATTTTCAACCGAAAGATACATGGAGTTTGTTTTGAATGAGTGCAATGTCAAAGTGTGCTACAGTCCAAATGAAGGTCATCCCTGAAAGTGCAATCGACAGATCTGTTTGACTCATGCAGTCGGGATTACTTGTGATCCCACCGCAGGATTTACTCTCTTTCAGCACCATGGGTGCAGTTGTCTGTCAACTGTCGTATCCCGACTGCGCGTGCAGACCAACGAAATCCATCGTACTCGTTCCGATTCACCCGAATCTCCTAGGCATTCTATGTTCCGTCACTTTATGTGTATATGCATCAGCTCATGCCGATTTTTATCCTTCTTTCTTTAACCCTTTCCTTATCGTATCACAGTCACTGTGGTAGATTTTCAGGGCTTACGCTTTATCGATCTGGATGTAGTGTTCATTGGGTTCATTGAGTGGAATAGTTGCGACCGTTTGTACTTGAACTGTAACTTGAACCTGTAGACAGTCATGCATCAGGATAAATTTCTTTATAAGACGAATTCTCCTGAAATGTCTTGGGAGCGTTCTCTGTCAGCTAGGACTGAGTGTTGCATCTGCAATCAATGACTCCTTACCAGATGAAGTCAGGATGAACCTTTTTCCATTGTATCTCCTCCCTGTTATCCTCTATAACTTCCTGTTCCTATATAGTTATCATTCTGAGGAGAGGACACCACAAGAAAAGACATTACTTTGGAATGAATGACTTCTAGTAGGTGGATCTCCGTACATCTCAAAACGTTCCAAGGTAGCAGGTTACCAAACGCAACTGCTTTAGATCTTGCTGTAGTTCCACTTTTTATGGCATTCTGTCTTGTCTCTTACCTCAAGAGAGACCGCTTCTCAGGAAATGCCACCTGTCTCTTCAGGTGGTGCAGCAAGAGAAGGGTAACAGTAGCATGCTGGATACAA